AAGATACAAACACTACCTTTCTAATAAGATAATCAATTACTCCATATTTTTTCATCAGATCCGAGAACAGTTCCAATATTCTAGGATTTATCTGTCATTCATCACTGTCAGAAAGAAGAATCATCCACCTCATTCAATATTGGGTGAATCATTCTCCTTATTTACGTTAATGCCATTTATTGTTATTTATTACTTGGTATTCTCCTATCATTACTCAAACCTCTCAGAATATTAAATGCACACTGCATTTAGTCCCCCACCAACATTATCTTGTAATATTTGTGTTAACTACTTATAAATCTAGAAATATTATCATTAACTTGGTTTAACCCCTTATTACACAAAATTAATTAATCAGTTTAACCAAAACTTTATAATTTTTGGTCAAATAACATTCTCTTCAAATTCCTCATATAAAATATAGCAAAATAAGATAAGAGAGTGTGGGAGAACAAATATTTGTCGTTTTATTTGTGCATGCATGCAAAGAGACGTGTGTGAATGACAAAATTTGGAGTTTGTTTATTTTTATTTTTTCCCCTCAAAATTTGGAGTAAAGAGCAGATTTTCTTTTGTGTACAAGTCCGTGCACTTTTAATTGTTATCAAAAAGTATTTAAAGAAAGAAAAAAAATTTGAGAATGTGAAATGAAAGTGATTGGGAAAGCATAAGAGCAGTGGTCCTTCTTCATTTTACGTCTCCTTTGTAAAGACTTGTGAGTCTTGGTTTTTAATGCTAATAATCCCCACAAGCTTTTATGTATGCAGCTTCGTTTGCTACAGTACAACTAGCTTCTCTTTCTATAGTTTTCTTTCTCACTTTGTTTTACTTGTTGTCTCCTTGTTCCCTGTCTAGTATGATTTTATCTGCCAGAAGTAATTGTAATTACCCTAGGAGGGCTTACCAACTAGATAGATGAGTGGATAGGAGATCTTTGAGGGTTCATTTGATACGAGGGATACGGGATAATTAGTTCCAGGATTAAATTTAATTAAAATAAAATTATAATGTAACTGATCCCGAGATTAGTTATCTCGAAATTGTAATGTTATTTATATCTCTATGCATGGGAGGGTAGGATAATCCCGAAATAACTAAATGTATTGGTAAAAAACTGAATTAAAATATTGAAGATGACGTGTCATGACACGTGGACCGGTCAAATAGTCAAAGCATGGTAATCAGTTAGAAGGTACGAGCAACAACAGATGCGGGAGAAAAGATACTTAAAGGCACGAGCCATTATTCAAATGAAACGAGACTCGTACCTGTTCAAGTCATTTAAAGTTCGAAGATCAGAAGGAATTGAAGACATGAATCTGGTAGCAAAAAAGAGTCCAAATTCAGCATTAAATGCCAAATACGTTAGAGAATTTGTATTTAATATGAATGATTGAGTAACGTTTCTTTCAATGTCATTTATTGCTCGTAATTGCCTCATTAAGACAAAGGCATTATACTTTCTTTTAAAATTAACTATAAAAAGAGAAAGTCACAACATCTGTGGGGACAAGAAATATTACGGGAATAAACTTTGTTCTTTTTGCTTTCTGATTATATCATTCAAAATTTCTTTCTTATATACTTTTTCGATTATCACTAACCCGAGTTCTTCTAAATTCAAGCTTTGACCTAAAATCTAATTTTTGGTTAAACACCGAAATAATTAATCCTGAAAATAACTTATTCCTTAACCAAAGGACCCTTAAATATGGATACTAGTTCTAGAGTCCATATGAACTAGTTGTTGTACAATATATTCTTGATTAAATAAAATCTTTTTCATTTTACCATAAAAGAATGTTGCTTCTGTGAATAAAACAGAAATTTAAATTTATTTAATAACTTTTCCCAGTTAAGTAATATACATTAAATCATTAAATCTAGATTTCAAAGCTACTAATCTTAACCAAACACCATTAGATTAATTTTTTCTTTTGTTTTTGTTTTTATAGATTTATATCCCTTTTTTCTTTGGCCAATCCATCCACTTCTTATCGTCTTGTCAACTTGCTGTAGGCGTGTAATTTTTACTAATTAACAAATAAGAGAGATATACCTTTATTTCCTATTTTTTTCTTGAGTCGAGAGTCTATTGGAAAAAATATCTCTACAAAATAGGAATAAGGTTACTCCTGATCCCACTTATGGGACCACATTAGACATGTTATTGTTGTATACCTTTATTCCTTTTGGTGTTTTCCTCCTTTTTATTAACTATATACTCGATCACATTGCCATTGATAACGTTTGTTAAGAGCGAGTGCCAAGTGAGTTTCCATAAATTGCTGCTATGTCACTATTCAGATATGGACCATTTATTGCCAATTGTACGTACTACGTACACAAGTCCACATAGTATTTTCTTCATTTTAGAGAACTATTTGAAGTATTGAGACCCCCCTCCCTATGGAAAAAATTGGGAGTTACTTAGCTTGGCTCTTAGAAATGGTATATACAACAACAACAACAACAACAACAACCCAGCAAAATCTCATTAGTGGGGTCTGCGGAGGGTAGTGTGTACGCAGATCTTATCCCTACCCTGAAGGGGTAGAGAGACTGTTTCCGAAAGACCCTCGGCTCAAGAAAATAAAAGGACAAAAGGAGACAATATTGGTATCACCACAGAAATTATAGGAAAATAGGAACAACATAAAATCCAGAAGAAAGATGCAAAGCAAAAGCGATAGCTAGTAAATAGGTCCTGCAACTGAAAAGCGAAATAGTAAGATACAACATTGCCACTAGCAAGCTTGGACAAAAACCCTAGCAGACTAGTCTCACAAAGGTACCAAGTAAAGCAAGACTCAACTACCTCCTAACCTACCACCCTAATACTCGACCTCCACATTTTCCTATCAAGTGTCATGTCCTCGAAAATCTGAAGTCTCGCCATATCCTGCTTGATCACCTCTCCCCAATACTTCTTAGGCCGCCCTCTACCTCTTCTCATTCCCTCCACAACTAGCCACTCATACCTCCTTACCGGAGCATCTGGGTTTCTCCTCTGCACATGCCCGAACCATCTGAGTCTCGCTTCCTGCATCTTGTCATCAATGGGAGCCACGTGCACCTTCTCCCGAATATCATCATTCCTAATCTTATCCACCCTAGTGTGTCTGAACATCCACCTCAACATCCTCATTTCTGCTACTTTCATCTTCTGAATATGTGAGTTCTTAACAGGCTAACACCCAGCATACATCATAGCCGGTCTAACCACCACTTTACAGAACTTACCTTTGAGTATCGGTGGCACTTTCTTGTCGCACAGGACTCCAGATGCTAACCTCCACTTCATCCATCCCACCCAAATACGGTGTGTGACATCCTCGTTGATCTCCCCTCCCCCCTGGATAACCGACCCAAGGTACTTGAAGTTGCCTCTACTTGGGATGACTTGTGATCCAAGCCTCACATCTACGTCCACTTTCCCCGGCTCAGCGCTGAACATACACTCCAGGTATTCCGTCTCCGTCCTGCTCAGCTTGAAACCCTTAGATTCAAGAGCATGTCTCCAAACTTCCCGCCTCTTGTTAACACCGGCTCGCGACTCATCAATCAGAACTGTCATTGGCGAATAGCATGCACCATGTCACATCCCCTTGAATATGGTGTGTTAACGCGTCCATCACCAGGGAGAATAAGAACGAACTGAGCGCAGAACCTTGGTGTAATCCCATTACAACTGGAAAATGCTCAGAGTCACCTCCTTCTGTCCTAACACGAGTCTTATCCCCATCATACATGTCCTTAATCGCCATAATGTAGGAAACCGACACACCTTTTGCCCCCAAGCAAGAACTTATCTAGGAACCTTGTCATACGCTTTCTCTAGGTCAATAAACACCATGTGCAGATCCTTTTTCCTCTCTTTGTACAGTTCCACCAACCTCCTAACAAGGTGTATAGCTTCTGTAGTAGAACGACCCGGCATGAACCCGAACTGGTTGTTGGATACAGACACTGTCATCCTCACCCTCGCTTCAGCCACCCTCTCTCACACTTTCATGGTATGACTTAATAATTTGATACCCCAATAATTGTTACAACTCTGGATATCACCTTTGTTCTTATATAATGGAACCAGCGTACTCCACCTCCACTCATCCGGCATCCTCTTCACCGTAAAAATAACATTAAATAACTCAGTCAACCACTCCAAACCTGCTCTCCCCACACTCTTCCAAAATTCCATCGGAACCTCGTTTGGCCCGGTCGCTCTGCCCCTACTCATCTTACGCATAGCTTCCACGACCTCCTCAACCTTGATACGCCTGCAGTGCCCAAAGTCACGGTGTCCCTCGGAATGATCTAATTCGCCTAGCAGAATATCCCGATCCCCTTCTTCATTCAGAAGTTTATGAAAGTAAGTCTGTCATCTCCTCTTAATCTGGCATCTTCCATCTATACTCTACCATATTTGTCCTTGATGTATCTCACTTGGTCCAAATCCCGAGCCTTCCTCTCTCTCAACTTGGCCAGCCGGAAAAACTTCTTCTCCCCGCCTTTTTCCCCTAGTTCCTCGTAGATACAACCATAAGCCGCAGTCTTAGCCTCTGTGACCGCCAGCTTAGCTTCCTTCCTAGCAACCTTATATCTCTCCATGCACGCTCACCTCTCCTCCTCACCTATGCTCCCCACTAACATCAGGTACTCCGCCTTCTTCGCTTCCACTTTACCTTGGACCACTTCATTCCACCACCAGTCTCATTTGTGCTCACCAGAGACACCCGTCGAGACCCCTAACACCTCTCTCGCAGCGTCCCTTCTACAGTCTGCTGTCGCTGACCACATAGTGCTCGCGTCACCACTGCTCTTCCAAGCTCCCATAGCCGACAGCTACCCCTCCAACTCTTGAGCTTTATCCTTAGTTAAGGCTCCCCACGTGATTCTCGGTCTTCCTCAAGCATGCCTTTTCCTCCTCTTTAACATAATACCAACGTCCATCACCAAGAGTCTATGTTGCGTCGCGAGTATCTTACCCGAAATCACCTTCAATTCTTACACAGCCCTCTGCCACACCTCCTGAGGAAGAGATAGTCAATCTGAGTCTTCGCCACCATATTTTGAAAAGTAACCAAATGCTCCTCCCTCTTTGGAAAGTTAGAGTTCGCAATCACCAACCCAAAAGCCTTAGCGAAGTCCAACATCAAGGTACCTCCCCCGTTCCTCTCCCCAAAACCGAAGCCTCCGTGCACCTCGCCATAACTACCTGCGGACGATCCAATATGACCATTGAAATCCCCTCCTATGAATAGCTTCTCAGCAGGCGGAACCTGGCACACAATCTCATCTAACCCCTCCCAGAAGTGCCGTTTAACCTCCTCATCTAGGCCCACATGCGGCGCATAAGCGCTAACGACGATTAGGGTGCTCTCTCCAACCACCAACTTAATAATCATTAATCTATCATTCGCTCGTCTAACCTCGACCACGGACTCTGTAAGTTCCCTATCTACCAAAATACAACATAATGCGATAAAATCTTGAATAAAATGGAATGCTCGTGCATTCGGGGAAATCAAGAAGGACTGGATATGGAACTTTATTTTGGGGTTTTCTGCCTTGAAATGTTAATTTTACTTCAGTTCGGTGAAGACTATTTACCATAGCCAATAAGAGTTGTGGTCGAATAATAAATACTTTTTTATCTTTAATCAGAGGTTTCGGTTTCGAGCTCTAGGTATATGTAGTCGCCTTTTATTAGGAAACGTTTTAACCCTCAATGTGAGATTTTTCAGTGTAAATTCAAATTCAGTGGGACACCAATACGAATACTGAACAACGTAAAATGCGTGTGTATTAAGAAGAAAAAACTTGCACAAAACGAAAAAGAGTACAAGAAACACATGGGTACATCTTTGCTACAAGGTTTTGTTCTTTAGTGATAGTATTTGTCTTCCAACGAGAAAAGTTCAAGCTACAACATTTGGTTCTGAGACCAAATACGTGGGCACTTTGTGTTGCTTCAACAAAATTTCCTTCTATCCTCTTACAATATTTCTTTTGTCAAAAAGCAAAATTCTTTGATTTGGTGATATATATGCTTCTTTACTATGCTCCAAAATTAAGAGGAGATTTTTACATTCCTATACATTATATGAAACTATATTATTTTCCCTACACAAGTTTTACTATAATTACATTTTATAGACCCAATTATCATTTATGTACATTTTAAGGCAATTAATGATAATAATTAGTGTCCTAAAATCACTCTAACGTATCTTCCACTCCCCCACATTTCTCTCTCCACATCTCATCCCCTCCCCCACGTATCTTGCACAAGAGAGCAGCAATTCCACCATTGACAACCATTAGAAAGTTTTGAAGTTTTGAATTCGAATTTAGATTTTCAAAAAACATTATTTGTTTGAACTGTAAGTCGTCATCCTGAAATATATAAACATGCACGTGTACGTGTGAAAATTTTATTTATATCTGAAGCATAAAATTAACTTTAGGCCACTAATTACATTAAGCCATCCTGCTCCCAAAATCTAGCTAATCTTGTTTGGTATGCACGTGAATAAAAATCTTTTTATTCCGTATCAAATAATTATACCAAAGGAAATTTTTTTAATGGTGTATAGACATAGCATAAATAAAAATCTTTTTTTATAAAAGAGAATGGTCTATAGTAGAGCCGCCGGACGTATCTCCGACAAATCCTAAGACTCGGACTAGACGTGGTTTAGGATTCAACCACAAACACGTGCGCCTTAAATCAAACATATAAAGATGAATGCACCAAAAACGGCGGTGTTTTTTTTTTTCCTTTTTTCTTTTTCCGTTTGTCTGGGAAGGGGTGGGACATTAATATGACAAGATTGTCTTTTACTGTTTTTTGTTTTTATTCCTTCCGATTCAAAATAAGTGATATTTTAACTGTTTTTACACAGATTAAGAAATTCACCTTTTAGCATTAATTAACAATGAGATTGACTATATTAACCTTTATTATCTCTTCACATAAATACTCCTATAGGGGTGTTCAAAACCGAACCGAAACCGAAAACCGAACCGAAACCGAAGCTTAATGGCTTATTGGTATCGGGTTAACGGATTAACGGACGGGGAACGGATTGAAATTTTTTCATTAACGGCTTATCGGTTTGGGGGCGGATTATTCAGTTTTCTTAACGGATAATCCGTTAACCCGTTAAGAATATATATATATATATATATCTTCAAAGAGTAATAACCTTTTAACACGTAGATTGGATAAAGTCGAAAGGGTCACAAAAATATTAGCTTCAAAATAACTTTATTTGCTTTCTTTATGAGTAGGGTCTATTTCTTGAACTGATACAATGATCATCCTTTCTTTTGTTATGTACTGTAGTTGGTAATCGGTGAATACATTAATAGATCCAGTTTTTCCCATTACAGACAATTCGAACAGAAATTGCAACAAAGGGCTGAAGATACGCTGTGGAAATCACTTGTTAGAAAGGTGGTGTCTGCCAAAGCTATATCTTCCTTGTCTCTGCCTAAAAGAAAGAGAGAAGAACAACCAAGATTGAACTTAAGGGATCATCAAGTGAGAAGTTTTAGGTTGACAACTCACTGTCAATAGTTAGAAAATTATGGTATAGCAGTTATTACTACAAATTATATATTTCATAAGTATTGCTGTAGAGAATTAAAGAAAGGCAGAATAGTCTAAATGGCACTTATACTTATGCCACTTTGTCATGCCGGTCCCCAAACTTATTATTTTGCCAAGTGAACACTTACACTCGTTCAAAATTAATTTTCTAAATCCTTCTGACCATTGACCGAGCTTATGTGGCATTGACATAGATGAGGTGGAAAATATATGTAATACACGCGTGCAAAGAGAGTGATAGTAGTGATTTTGATTAAAAATGAATTAAACTAAAAAAAAAAGAAGTAAAGTTAATAAGTTAATCGAAGTTACCACCCCCCCCCCTCCCGATTTTCTTCTCTTTCTCAGTTTCTCCCACCTTTCTTCTCGCCCCTAATCCCTCTTTTCCCCTCCACACTAGTGTAAACAATGGATGAGCCTTTAAAATCACAAAATCAGGCAGAAATATACTATTTGTCTCTATTTCTTTAACAAAAAAATCTTTTACATTTCTTATTTCTTTTTTTGTTTAATCAAAACCCAACTGAGTAGGGTTTCGGCGAGTTCCGTTCCTCCGACGATGTTGCTCCAGTGTCCTATCCGTGGTAGTAGCGTCACAGATTCCACGACTCTTTAGGTTAACGAACGGATCTATTTTGGTTATTGTTGTTGTGTTTCCTATTTGGAACTGGTCACGCCGGAATAATTTGTCCGGTGGCCGTTACTGATGGTATTTGTACACTTTTCAGTGAAACTCATATCCTCGGGCGAATATCCTCTTGGCTCTGTCTCGTTACTGTTTTTTCATTGCACTTGTTTTGGTTAGGTTGGCTGAAATAACTTGGTGAATCAAGGTTACAATTCGCCGCTATTGAGTCTGAGTCTTTGGACGTTCACTACCCCAACGGCTTCTGATTTTTGGCTTAATGTTCTTGCATATCTGGAGTTTTACTTTTTGTTGAAGATTTGCAGCACTTGTGTGCGCTTGTGGGCTTCGGTGTTAGTGCTTCCCTTAGGAAATCTTCTGTTGCTGGATGGGATTTTGAAAGGAAGATCTTTGCTAGTAGTTAGGAATGGTTCACGGTGGTCAGATAAAGAAAGAGATTGTAATGGTGGCTATGAGGTTGTTTATTAAGGCATTTTGGATTTTTCTTCAAATTTAAAAAAAAAAATACTTTCCGAGGAAATAAAAAAAGCCGTGGAATAATCCATAAGGTGTAAAATAAAAGAAAATATTAGGTTTGGGTGGCCTGTCCTATTTTTCAATAGTTTATTTTCCTATGTGGCACTAGAAATGACGTGGCGTCCTACGTGTAAGAGATTGTATTACACGCACTGGTAGCCTCCTATGATAAGTGTTTATTATACACGACTTGAACGAGTGTAAGTGTTCAGTTGGCAAAATCATAAGTTTGGGGACCGGCATGAAAAAGTGGCACAAATACAAGTGCCATTTAGGCTATTCTGCCTTAAAGAAATGAAATGGGTTTGGTCAAGAGAATATTTAGATTGTATGTGCATATTTTCTAGTAATTCATTGAATATAGTTTGAATTAGGTCGATAAACCACCCGATAACCGCCTGATAAGAGCTAAACCGATACCAATCTGCCCAATATCTTATCGGGTGGCTAGCGGATTAATACATTTAAATAAGCCAAACCGTTAAGAGTAAATAACCGCCCAATCCGCCCGATAAGCAGCCCTACACTCCTAACACATATTCCAACACTATTTACTCCAAGGGCAATGTTGGAAAAAAATAATTAATTCATTCTTGAAATCTAGAAAAATCACTTATTTTGGACCACAAAAAAAAGGCCAAAAAATCACTTATTTTAGACCGAAGGAAGTAATTAATAAGTTTGGAAGGCTTCATAAAAGTCGAGTTATTTATATGGACACGAGTAACACTATCTTCCTTAGGACCTTAGCCAAAGATAACTTTGTACTTAGTTTACTTGCTCCTTTTTTATTTAATTTTTTGTTTTTATTTTTTATCCTATCCCTAAATGTTAAAATAAATAAGGAAATAGAAAAGCTTCTGAAATTAAGAGAGAAAAGCACGTAAAAAAAGTTGGGATGTTTTTGGTTGATATCAAAATTAGGTTAGTCTGTCAAACTTTGGCTATGTTATAGAAGATTGCACTACAATGATATCCTTGAAGTATTTTTCATGGGCTTTGAATATGGGCCTATGGGCTTTCAGAATGGGCCGTGAAATAAAAAAAGTAAAAAAAAAAAAAAAAAAAAAAAAAAGTAGTAAGCAATATTTTCATCGAGGGAATTCAAAAAATAAAAAAGCAAACACGAAAAAATTAAGGGAATACATAAAAAGAAATTAAACTTATATATATTGTGTAATTTTTCAATGAAGTATAAAACCCCCTCCTGCTACCCTGGCTCCGCCTATGACTATCCGGTTATCACAATCTTCTTTTTCTGTTTAACTATCTTATATATTGAACCTACTAGCCCGATGTCTGGATTTGCAATGATCTCTATTAGGGGTTTGTTCATTTCTAAAGTTCGAATTCGAAATCTCTAGTTGAGACTTGAGAGGAGAGAGATTCTGTCTTTCCCTTTTCATGTCGGTTTCTGTATGTCCCCATCTAACATAATTTCTTCTTTTTTTTAAAAAAAAGAAAAGAAAAGGAAAATAGCGACAATAAGCTTTTCCTATGCTGCTGTGCATCTCTACCAACTTCATGCTCTAAAAACTGACCTTTCATCGAATTTTCTTGAGTTTTTACATTTTGGAATATTTCTTAATCGGTAGGCCAAATCCTAAGTTAAAGAATACTATTTATTTTGATTTGGTGGAACGTTTATTCGTACTGTGATTATTTTTAATTCCATAATGTATTAAAACTAATTTTTTTGGCATATTTTGTTTGTACTAACAGATCTCTATTTTATTCACCTTCTACCAGGCTAATTTCTATTAGATGGGCATTTTCTTCAACAACCAACACGAATATTTATTAAATGATCGTTTCGTTCCTTTTTCCACATGTGAAATAGGAAGTATATCAAACTACTTCAAGCATTACAGATAAGTTAATTATCAAAAATCAAGCGCTAACTAACAAGAAGCACCAAATCCATATGATTGAAAATATTACTTCCTCTGGTCCATTTAAGTGATTTTTTTTTTTGTTGTTTTTACACATATTAAGGGATTTACCTTGTAACATTAATTAACAATGGAATTGACCATATAAACCTTAATTTGCTCATTGGAAATATACCAAACTACTTCTAGGCTCTTTACCCCAAGGACAACTTTGAAAAAGAGAAGTTAATTCCTTCTTTATATCTAAACAATTAAATATTGTGGACCAAAAAGAGAGAAGACCAAAAAATTACTTAAGTGGAACGGAGGAAGTACTAATTATTGTTGAATTAAGGACCCGTATGTCCATAAATGTTTCTTTTTTCGGATTTTTTTTTAAAAATGTGTTTGTCCATGAAATTTTGTAAATTTTTGAAAATTTTCGAAAATGAGTTTTTCAAAAATCAAAAAGTGGTTTTGACCACTTTTTCGAAATGTTCAGAAATTTTTGTTTCCCTACTAACAAAATTTCAATATTTTTTCAAGTGAAATGCATGTCCAAACATAATTCCAGATATTATTTTTCAACCAAACTCCGAATACTAATTTTTTCAAAAATTATAATTTTTATGTCGCCAATTAAGAACTCACATATCCAGAAGATGAAAGTAGCAGAAATGAGGATGTTGAGGTAGATGTGCCGACACACTAGGACGGATAAGATTAGGATTGAAGTTATTCGGGAGAAGGTGGGCGAGGCCTAAGAAGTATTGGGGAGAGGTGATCAGGCAGGACATGGCGTGGCTTCAGATTTTCGAGGACATGGCCCTTGATAGAAAGATGTGGAGATCGAGCATTAGGTTTGTAACTTAGGAGGTAGTTGAGCATTTTTCTACTTCGTACCGGGTGTGAGGCTAGCCTGATAAGGTTTCGTCTTAAATTGCTAGTGGTTAATGATGTGTTCACACTATTCTTCCATTTTTTATAGTATCAGGCCTTATTTACTTGTTATTATTATTGCTTTTCATCTATTTTCTGATTCTTATGTCACTATTATTATTTCTATGGTTTTTGTTGATGGTACTGATATATTTGTCTCTTTTCGTCTTCTTAAGCTGAGGGTCTTTCAGAAACAGCCTCTCTACTCCCTCGGAGTAGGAGTAAGATCTACGTACTCACTACGCTCCTCAGACCCCACTTGTGGAATTTTATTGGATTGTTGTTGTTGTTAATGTATAATTTTTATGTCCCAAACGCCTACTAAGTTAAGTTGGATTGAATTAAATGTGGAATAATCTAGAAATAACCTTGTTCCAAACCAAATAAAAGGCCAGCCCAATGCACGAAGCATCTCGCGTTTACGCAGGGTCAAGGGAAGGATTGTACTCCAATGGAATATAAATAGACATCCACTACTAGGAATCCGGGCAAAACCGTCCAAAAAAACCGACCAACGTTGGTCGGTAATGGCCACTAACCGTCCAAAACGCGACCATTTACGTGTGAACGATATTTTGAAGGTCGGAAGGGCATACCAACCAAAGTTGGTCGGAAATTACCGACCAATTTTGGTCAGTCAATTAAATTCAAAAAAAAATATTGTCGAAAAAACCGACCAATTTCGACCAAAGTTGGTCGGTATTTTAATTATGTAATTAAAAATGCACCGTCTGGGAATCGAACCGGGGTCTGTACTGTGGCAGGATACTATTCTACCACTAGACCATTGGTGCATTTTGTTTTATGACTGTCTTTTATTTCATTTATACTCTTGAATTGTATTTTCGCACAAAAATAACCTACCAAAGTTGGTCGGTTTTATTAAAAAATAAAATTACCGACCAAAGGTGGTCGATTTTTTAAAATAACTGGCCGAATTAACCGACCAAAGTTTGTCGGTTTCTTGAAAAATAAATTTCGTGGGACTCAAAATAGTTTCCCGCATTTTTGCGCCAAAGATAACCGACCAAAGTTGGTCGGTTTCGTAAAAAAGAAATATTTTGAAAAACCAACCAACTTTGATTGATTTTTTGGCCGGTTTTTTTATCGACCAAAATTGGTCGGTCGACAGTGGTTGGTTTTTGCCGAATTTTTAGTAGTGATCCTACCTTAAAGCAAACATTAGTGACTGATTCCACAACTCGAACCCATATTATTTTAAACATACAAGTGACCAATCATTTCAAGAATAATTTTTGTTAGTACCAAGCTAAAAGGAGGCAACCCTTATTACCTCACCAACATTCTCAAAAATACATTTGATTTTACGAAAAAGGGCCATATATGCCAGTGAACTATGCGAATTAGGACAGATATGCCCGTCGTTAATAGTTTGGCACATATATGCCTAATCTGTCCAATACTTGGTCATTCATGCCCTTAGTTTAACGGAACCACTATTTTGTCTTTCTTAAATAATTAGTAATCGGATCCAACCAAAATTTGCTGACCCGATCCGTTAGGACCCGACCCACCTTTATTTCAAAGATATTTTTTGATATATTATTTTTGTTTGATTGAGAAATTGTGTGATAATCATATTTATTTATTTGAGTAATTTGATAATCGATTTTTTTTTGTTATACATCATTTCGGGAAGTAATCCTACTAAAAATAGTAATTAATATTCATTTATTATTTTGATAATATAATATTCGAATTTGTTTGTGCTTTCTTCAATCATTTTACCATCTATTTTTATTTTTCTCACAATTTATTTGTATTTTTCACTCTATTTTTATTAATTAATTATTTCATAAATAAAAATACACAGCCAATCCTGTATCAATCAGAACAGTCTGTAAGTGTTTATTTCATGTCTGTTGCGTCTCAATTATGACTAGCCAATCCTGTAGGAGAATTTATTCATCCACTGGTTTGGTTGCAGCAACGTTCACGAAAACAAATTGAATGGAACGATTCCACCTGCCTTTCAGAAGCTCGAAAGCATGACCTATCTATAAGTCCTTACTCTCTGGTTTAACGTCAACAACTTTAAACTCTGTATTTTTATTTAAATATAATTAAAAAAAGGTCAATTTATTTAAACCACTAATATTTGGGACTGGAGGAGCATTAATCAACGAATTATGCTTTATTTTTAAAATTACTTTGGGTCAACTATGTGGGGGATTTGCAGCGGTACCCACTTTTTATGCCACCTTTTAACCTATACCCTGTTTTTAAAAATTATTGATTTCGTAACCAACTAACAGAAAATCCGTGTTAATATGACCATTATACCCCTTCCAAAATATATAAAAGTGTGTCTCTCCTCCGTATTCATAGATTCAAATTACATATCTCCTCCGTATCTCCTCCATCAGTCAGTTCCTCCTGAGAACGCGTCTCGTATTCAAATTCCATATTCAAATTCAAATTCAAATACATTGTAAGTATTTAAATTCATCTCCAGAATTCAAAATAATTTTTGAATTTTATGTTTTCTGGTTGTTTGACGAATTTCAGTGAAGGAATATAAATTCCATATTCAAATCAAATTCATCTCCAGAATTTAAAATGTTTTCTGATTAATTCACTGAATTCTAATTTAATGTGTGATATGTTAGTAACATATTGCACTAAAAAAACTTCGGTCTAACAGCTGAAGTTTTTTATTTATTACTTAAAAACTTCAGAGGGAGCCTGAAATTTTCCTCCTACACTGGTTAAATTAAAAAATGATATTGCACTAAAAAAACTTCGGCCAAGCAGCTGAAGTTTTTTTGTTATTACTCAAAAACTTCAGCAGGAGGCTGAAGTTTTCTACATACACTGGCTAAATAAAAAAATCATATTGCACTAAAAAAACTTCGGCCTAACAGCTGAAGTTTTTTATTTATTACTTAAAAAATTCAGAAGGAGCCTGAAATTTTCCTCCTACACTGGTTAAATTAAAAAATGATATNCATGTTTAAACTCACAAGTTTGCTTTGCTGAAACAGGGACGGAAGCTATGTTCATACCAAAGCTGGGAAGCTTGAAATTTTCAGGTGTAATGCCCCAATTCTGCTTACGCAAAGGCAATTGAGAAGATCACACATCACCCCTAGGAGAAACACTTCCAAGTCAGGGTTTTCAAGTTATATTTTTGTTTTAGGAGACGCACTTCCTGGTTTGAATCATTAAAGTTTTACCCATTAGGAGACGCACTTCCTAGCAGGGGTCTTTCAGATTATACTTGTTAGGAGACGCACTTCCTAGCTTTGGTCATTTAAATTCATTCCTAGGAGACGCACTTCCTAGTTTGAGTCATTGATGTTTCACCCCTAGGAGACGCACTTCCTAGTCTGGGTCTTTCAGGATAAACCTTTAGGAGACGCACTTCCTAAATTAAGAATTCATTCATAGGAGACGCACTTCCTAGTTTTAGTCACTGAAGTTTTCACCCCTAGGAGACGCACTTCTTAGTCTGGGTTTCTCAGGATACACCTGTAGGAGATGCACTTCCTAAATTGAGATTTCACCCCTGAGAGACGCACCTCTTAGTTTGAGTCATTTAAGTTAGGACCTAGGAGATGCACTTCCCAGTCTGGTTCATTGAAGTTTTACCCATAGGAGACGCACTTCCTAAATTAAGAGTTCACTCATAGGAGATGCACTTCCTAGTTTGAGTCATTGAAGTTTCACCCATAGGAGACGCACTTCCTAAATTAAGAGTTCATTCATAGGAGACGCACTTCCTAGTTTTAGTCACTGAAGTTTTCACCCTTAGGAGACGCACTTCCTAGTCTTGGTCATTTAAATTCAACCCTAGGAGACGCACTTCCTAGTTTGGTTCATTTAGGTTTTATTTTAGCAGATGCATTTGCTTGTCAAAGTTTTGGTTTTACTCGTAGGAGATGCACATCCTAGTCTAGTCTTTAGTCTACTCTCATCATTGCATCAGTAGTATAAGTAGTTTGCAATTTTGCTAACAACTCACAAATCTTCCTAGTGCAAACTGGGGCAGAAAATTTTCTTTGTTGTTTATTTTGTTGCAATCAGGAGCCCACCTGGAGAACAAGGGAATGCTTTTCAAGTTTCAGCAGTCAGGAGCCCGCCTGGAAAACAGAGGTATCACAATTCAAGTTTTAGTTTTCAAATTCTTATTATTTGATAACATGATGTGCCCAGCCGCCACACTGGGGCAGAAATTTTCTTTGTTTGTCTATTTTGTTGAAGTCAGGAGCCCACCTGGAGAACAAGGGGATACTTTTCAAGCGCTGCAGTCAGGAGCCCACCTGGAGAACAAGGGAATACTTTTCAAGCGTCAGCAATCAGGAGCCCGCCTGGAGAATGGAGGCATATATTTCAAATCTCAGCGGTCAAGCATCACTCGGAGGCAAAACATCTCCGATCACAATGCAAGGCAACAACAAGGATTCCATCGGAAGAATACAAGGCAACACAAAAGCAAGTTTGAAGACATAGATAGGACCCTTGTCACGACCCCAGTTCGCCCTCCGTGAACATGTCGTGATGGCACCTAGTCCCTACAACTAGGTAAGCCTAACAATGCGTAATTTATACAACTTGCGGAAAAACAGACTAAATTGCGAAAGCAAACAACTGAAAATTTTACTGTCAAAAGAAAACTGTGTATAAGTGCCACTTGGCATAATACAACCCATATCACGAAATCCAAACAAACTCCCAAAACCCTGAAACTCACAGGAAACACAGGCTATTAGAAATGAAATATACTGCTCTAACTCCAGAATGTCTACACAACCGAAAGAAAGGAAGTCATATACTAAAGCTGGAATAAGATAGAGACTTCTGGTCTGCGGACGTGGCAGATATACCTCAAAGTCTCTGCTAGATCTCTCCGCCGCGAGGATAGTGCGCCTGGGTGGAGGTACCTGGAGCTGCACATGAAAAACATGCGCAGAAGAGGTATGAGTACACCACAGCGGTACTCANAACAGGGGAATACCTTTCAAGCTTCAGCAATCAGGAGCCCACCTGGAGAACAAGGGAATACTTTTCAAGCGTCAGCAATCAGGAGCCCGCCTGGAGAATGGAGGCATATATTTCAAATCTCAGCGGTCAAGCATCACTCGGAGGCAAAACATCTCCGATCACAATGTAAGGCAACAACAAGGATTCCATCGGAAGAATACAAGTTCAAGGCAATACAAGAGCAAGTTTGAAGACATAGATAGAACCCTTTTGTAATTCATAGATCATAGCTTAGGCTAGTTTATTTTTGACACGGTGTAATAAGGAGGTCAGCCAGCAGTAGCAACAGCAACAGCAATGAAATCACAGCTCCTGGTAGTCCCAGCTACCAAACCTTCCCGAACTACACTGACCTGATTCCTTTTTGGCCAAGGATATGTAGGCAGCCTCAGAAGCAGGGTGCGGTCAAACTTTTCAAAAATGCTTCACACGGAATATTCAAACGGGCAAAAATCGCTCGTGTTTGCTCACTTATCTTTGCCCGAAAACTCTTCATGTTTCCGAGCAAAGAGGGGCAGCTGTGAGCACGTGATTTTTGCCCTAAGTGAATTATTCCCAAAAATTCAAAAAAAATGATTTATTTCTTTATTTTACAATTTTGTGAATTTTTGTGTTCTCTTCTGTTAATTGTTTGCATTTATATCTGTTAATTAGTGAAAAATACAAAAATACCTGGCATTTGCATTTAGGATTTAATTTCACATTTTAGGATTAATTAGTAGTTAAGTTGTCTTGTTTAGACAAAGTATTAAGAAAATAACAAAATAGTCCATTTTGCATTTTTTGTTAATTGTCAAATTTGTCATGAGTTTACCTTTAAAATAGGACTTAATCAATTTTTGGGAGTTAATTGGTTTAATTTTGGAAATAAATTAGGTCTTGGTTTTAATTTTGCATTTTTATAAAATCAAAAAATATATATAAAACACAAATGAAAACAAAAATAATAAAAAAAAAAAAAAGAAAAACAAAAATGGAAATAAACAAAAGAAGAGGCTGCCCAATACAAGAACACCAAATTGGGTTATGTTTTAACTAATTCACTAGCCCAAAGACCAAATACCCGCCCCAAACTAGCCCAATCCAATCCCCCGCCCGGTCCAAATCCATGTTCCCTTAAACGACCCCGTTTTGGAACCAGTTAATCCAAGCCGTCGAGGTAATTGGATCAAACGGCCAGGAATCAATCTCCTGGCGTATTTAACTGTCCGAAATTACTACCCCCACCCCACCCCATCTCCCGTCTCTCACACACCCCTGAAGACCCACCGATCTCCGCCCTGAAACCACCGCCTGCCGCCCGCCGAAATTCGCCTACGGCGGCGGCTGGCGGCCAATCAAGCTCAAATTTGCAACAGAGCATCCCCTCCTCCACCCAATCCCAAATCTTCAACCACTTTTTCTCAGATCTTACCGGAATGCCTCGAATCTTAGAAACCCTAACGCCGCCTCCGCCGCCGACCGGCGAACGCCACTCCTCCCAAACCACCCCAAAATAACACCACGAGACCCCCCTCTTCTCCCTCATCATGAATCTACTACCTGTTCCCTTCAAATCCCGGTCCAACTCGTCGAATCTTTCCCCAAAGCTTTTCCGGCCACGACGCCAGTTACGCCAATGGCCGCCAAATTAACACCATAGATTCTCCTCAGCCTCCTCATCTCAAATCCTAAAGTCCCTTCCTTCGAATATGACTAAAACGCCTCGAATATCAAATCGAAGGTTTTCTGGCCAAACCCTAATTGCCCCAAACTTCACCAATTTGATACCAAATGACCCTCAAACCTTCCTCGTACGTGAACTTGGTCATCAGTCGAGCTTTATTTTTAGCCGGAGTTGGTCGTTTTCGAATTTGAAAATTTGACCGGTAGTCTCGAAGTGAATCAGTGAGTTTTCAAGCTTAGTACCTTTTATTTTATTTTCTTTTCCTTGTATGTTCACTGACCTTCCATGACTATGTAGCTTCTTAACTTTGTTTGGTAATAATTGTCAGTCCGAAATCAATGACNTCCTGAGAGATGGGCTCGATCGTGGTTCCCACGGCGACGTTATGATATGCTAACAACAAACATGGTAGAATCAATGAATTCCGTTTTACTAAAAGGGAGAGAAATGCCTATTTTAAGAATGTTAGATTTCATCCAAGAAAAGCTGGGAGAGTGGTTTTATGAACGGAGAAAAAAGGCAAATAAACTTTTCACAGAGTATCAATATGGGCAGAAGAAGAGATGACTAAGAAGATGGACTTGGCTTGCAAAATGTTTGTGAGTATATTTATTAACTTCAGCTTTTTAGATCTGTTGCAGTGATTTACTGCTTACATTTAAAAAATTTCATACTTTTTCGTTTTGAAGGAAAAATACACTAATATAATTTGTTTTAATTTTTTATTCCTTGTTAGGTGTTCAACCTTGACTCAATG